ATATGCCAATATCGTCAATTAAACTATATATGAATGAAATTTTTAATAAAGAATTCAATAAAGTTAAAAATTACAAATAATTTAAAATGCCAAATTAACTTTACAACTGATATATGGTCAAGCCCTACTAATGTACCATTTTTAGGGTTGACCTGCCACTTTATTGATGAAAAATGGGAGATGAAATCATTGTTATTGGATATAGTTCCATTTACTGATTCGCATTCTGGTGAAAATATTTATAGAGAGTTTTCTCAAATTATAAAAAATTATAATATCGACATAAGTAAGATAGCAATTACTTGCGATAATGCTAGCTCTAATTCTACTTTCATAAAAATTCTTAGTATAAAACACCCAAATTGTGAAATTTTACATGTGCGATGTTTTGCACATTTACTCAATTTAGTAGTATACAGGAAATACTTAAGAAAGTAGACAGGCAAGTATCAAAATTAAGAACAATAAAGATTATTCGAAATTCTTTTACAAAGACAAATATTATGCAAAATGTGGGCTCCTCCCTACTTCTATGAAATAATTAAAATTAGACACATCCATCAGATGGAATAGCTCTTATTTAATGGTCGAAAGAGCTATTAAAATGAGAAGAGCTATTGATGAAGTAGTGACTCAGATATATGATGATATATCTGATATCGAAAAAAGAAAACTGAGCGAAGTAATTTAATTTTATTTACTAATTATTATTTTTTATCAGGATGATTGGACTACTTTAATAAACATACAAAACAAATTAAAGACTTTTTTTGATTTTACCGAAGATATATGTGGTGACACATATCCTACCCTAAATCTTGTCATCCCTTTCTATGTTTCTTTAATCGAACATTTAAATTCATTTGATCTCGATTTTATAAACTCTATCAGTGCGATTGAGAAAATAGAAACTTATTATAACTTAACAAATATTCACATTATAATATCAATAATACTGGATCCTAGACTAAAAATGGAATTTTTTGAGCAACTACATATAACATAGACACGACAAATCTATTAGAAAAATTTAAAAATGTATATAATGATTACACTATAAAATATAATATCAAATCAACATCAGTTAACCCAATAGTACAGTCGAACATGGATAGAATTTTTAAACAAAATAACATCGCATCAGTATGTGAGGTGGAGACATATCTTAACGAAATAAGAATCAGTTCAAATAAGAGTCCCTTAGAATGGTAGAGATTGCATGGGGATCGTTTTCCTGTGTTGTCAAAAATGGCAACTATTCAGGGATCTTCGGCTTCATGTGAGCGGTTGTTCTCAATAGGAACAAATATGATAAAGAAAAATAGAATGTCTTTGAAGGAGGAAACTATTAGAAAGACTTTATGCTTCGAAAATTGTATTATCAAATTCGGATTTACTATAATTTTATATTTTCGTGTATTTTTTTCCTTATTTATAAAATGAGATTATTTTACATTTTTAGAAAATTTTAATAAAATTTGAATCATAGATTGAAGAAATATTTTTTTATAAGCAATTCTAATTCTAAAAATCGGATATTTTGGTCAATTTGTTTGGTTAACGTTATATGAAATCATTGGGTTTTATTTCGTTTATTTTCTATAAATTTTTATATTGTAATGACAATTAGTTTAGAGAATCCTTAAAAGTGTCATCTTTAAACATCTGTAAAATTTTTTTTGCAAAATATTTTTTAAGCTTTAGAAAAATTTTTGAATCGAATCGAAACGAATAATGTTATTATTTGTACGAATACGAATAGCGCAATTATTCGATTCGTTTTTTTGTAGGCCTATTCGTATTATATCAAAGAATGATCAAATACTCAGATATCATTTAGAGAAGGCTATAGAGCAAACGTCTCTGACAAATCAAAATCGAAGGGAAGAGGTTCTCTCATGACCTTGGTCAATAATAACTGTTAACAAAGTTATTGATGTTGTTCTTGATCAAATCAGAAATTTAAAAAAGGAGATTGGTAACGAACGATTTAGTTAAATGGATAGTACTCAAGACATTAGCGTATATGATCAAGCTACCATTTGCCTACCATATATAATGGGCTTTTCTCACTTACAAAAGTTACAAACTCTTCTGGAAAAATTTTATTTGATATCTTAAGTGAATGCTTTTTAAAACATTGAATTCAAATGAGAAATATAATTAGAGAATCATTTGATGGTGCTGCAAATATTTGGGGTGAATTTGTGGGTTGTAAGCTCTTATTAGACAAGAGGCTCCAGGTAGTTTGTATATTTGGTCTTACAGTCACATATTAAATCTCTGTATATGTGATTCATGCGATAATATTGAAAGCAAAAATTTATTTATTGAACAGACTGACAACTTTCTTTGGTGAATCATATAAAAGGATGGATGCTTGGGTGAAACAGAATAATTTATCTGGCCAAAATAAGTTGAGAAGGCTACAAAAAATAGGTGAGACAAGGTGGTGGTACTTGGAAAAGCCCTTAGATGGATATATTGTAAAGAGAGCTTGTTCCCAATAACGATAAGTGCACTACAATTTGTAATAGATAATAAATCATTTGAGGCATAACCTCATCAGAAGTGCAATTTTTGATCGATAATTTATGTAAATTTAAGACTCTAATACAGTTATAATATATTTGGAAATTTTTGAAATAATGAGGCCAATGTCATTATATCTTCAAACTAAAAATTTAGTTATTTTGTCAGCATGAAAATGATAGAAGATGCTAAGTTCTGTATCATCGATAACAATTGCATCGATTCAAAATAAAGCAATAAAAATGGCTTATAATTTAAATGAAACACTTTCATATTTAAAGCTCCCGGAGAGTATCTGGTTACAGAATGCTCTGCCAAAAAATGAATAGGACGAGCGAAGAGAATATGTAGTGACGAAGGCCAAGATGAACGTCCTCAAGAATTGATTGACTTTATAGGGTCGAAGTATTTCGTCCTATAATTGATCAAATTATAAACATCTTGTCGGAACAGTTTTCTGCGAATAGAGAGTTTATTTTGAATGTGCAATATTTGCATCCAAGGCATTTTGATGTAATAAATATTAAAGGTATTTCTGAAAAACCATTGTGTTCAAAGATTTAATAGCAGAATTAAATAAAACGGACAATAGAAAAATTAAAAGCGTTTTTAATGATGTTAGTTGAACGAGAACTATTAGCGTAGATTGAACTAGAATATTCTTGTTTATTTGCTCAAAGGTTCGAAGTTAATGATAGATTCATTAACGTAAAAATTATAAATTATCTTAATTCTTTTATTTAAATCTTATTTATATCTGTTTGCAATACTATCAGTGCCTGATTTTATAAGTGCAGCAATTTTGTTCTCTGTGCTATATTATATAATTGCAATAATTTTAATGTGTAATTAATTGATTTTATATATTAAGTATGTATTGTTTTATATTTAACGTGTGATGATAAAATATAATGAATATTTTTTTATATGTGCAATGAATCTGATTTTAGATGTGCAATTTTTTTAAATAAAATCTATGATTATCGTGCCATACTATTCTTTTTTTTTTATTAAAAAGATAAATCGTTTGAACTTATTTTCAAAAATAAGAAGTAATAAAAATCATATAATTTAAAGAAGCCATTTAAGGGAACCCGGCCGGAGGCCCACAAAATGGGGGTATGGGAGCAAAGCCCCCATAAAAATGAGACCGCTGTAAAAAAACGCCCACGAGGCCGTAGCGTCGCCAGTCTACCCCTGAAAAAGAAGGAAGAAACAAAGTTATGAAAGAAAAATTCTTAAAAAAATAAAGGTTTATACTTTACGATTTGTATAGATTTTCAACACACTTCCATTTGTAGACAAATTGGCATATCTCCATGGAATTTATTATTGCCAAATCACTTAGTACTGAATTTCTCTTTTCTTAATGTCAAAATCAGTATTCATAAAAATTAATTTATATTAAATATTTAAGAATAGTCACCGAAATTATAAAGAAATATATTTTCAAAAATGATTAAACAGATGTATTGCCCTATAAAACCTTCATCTAGCAAGATAATATTATTAGGCCACAAATTACAAATAAAAATGCATTAACATTTTATATTGTGCACATAAAGACATTTCCAGTTTTTATGAAATCGATACATTAAAAAGGTGTATTCATATCGGCCAGGTCAAACAAAAATAAAGTGTTCGGGCAGTGCAATTTTTTTTGTAATATTTGATGTATTCTGACATTTCTTAGAAGTTATATCCAGAGTTGTTAAACCCTACTTTTAAAAGTAGCGCGTTACCTCTTGCGTTATTTATCGAAAAAAGTAGCGCACTACCGCTATAACTATTCATCGAAAAAAGTAGCGCGCTATTAGCTACTATTCTTTAAAAGTAGGCTTGGTTACTTTTTAGTAGTGATCTACATCGGGCTTAATTTTTCAAGCCCGGCCCGAAATTTTTTATAAAGTTTTGCCCGGCCCGAACCCTATATTTTTTAAAAAAGTTTTGCCGGCCCGAACCCGAAATTTATTTTGAAAAAATTTACCGGCCCGAATTTATTATATCGAAATTAATTTTTATAATTGCTCAAAGTAAACGATATATGTTATATGGCGTCTAATTTCTATAAATAAAATAAAATATTTTTATTTTACATACCACATAAAAAATTGATAAATTTAGATATATTTTAAAAAAATTCTAAAACCCGACCCAGCCCAAATTTTCTTAAAAAATTATAGGCCCGACTCAGAACCCGATTTTTTTAAAGGAATAGGCCTTGCCCGATCTTTACTTTTTAGGCTACTTTTTGTAAAAAAAATTTAGTATTTTTTGCTCATAATGTAATTGTAAAGTATATAATACATAAAAATCAACATTTATAAATATTTAAATTTAGTTTTGACTATAAAAAAATTTATGTAAAAAGACTATAATTTATGTAATAAAAATATCTATTTATGGTAATATTCATTTTTTTTATTTATTTTGTTGCATTTTAATAATAAAATCATTTCTATACTATCATTCCCAAGTCTAGACTATCAGAAAGTGTAAATTTCCTCTAAATATGCTCTCGACACTAGCACTTGAGGGCAAGGCTATTTAATTTTATATACCTATTTTTACGCGTCTAGAGGATTTTCTATTTCAAAAAAATTATCAGTGAAAGTCGGTGGTTGTAACTAGGGCATCTTTGTTTAGTATGAGACTATAGCTTTACCATGAGCTTATCACGTTGATCATTAGCATCATCGTAATGGATATGTGGCCAGTTTAATTTAAAATTGGGGTGAATCATAAATTTTATTTGCAAGTACATCGTATGTCTGGCATCTCTTTTTAAAGTTTTAGGGTCATGTCAATGGCCTGTAATTCCCAAATATGCTCTAAAAATATTAATGTAGATCAATTTATAAATATAAATAAGTTTTTACCTTCTGTTATGTGTCCAAATATCTGCCGTGGTACATATCTGCTATTAGAGCATCTTTAATCACTTCAAAGTTATCTGCTATCTTAATCATTGGTGTCTGGTGACATAAAATAGGGAAAAGAGTTTTAATCATCATGATAAATGATTGATTAACAACCAAAAACAATGGCTGAGCTGTATCAATTATAAAATCGACAATGACTTTATCAGCCAGTATCTGAGGAATATTGGCATGTATTAATCAATTTAGCTTGAATTAAATTGGTCTATATGGATGTAGTTTCCCCTAGAGATCTGCTTTGAGCCGGTTTTTAGCCCACAAGCCCGCCTATTCAATGTTTTAACAAATTTAACCTGCCCGCCTAGCCCGCCCATTATTTATAAAAAAATTTTAACCCAAACCCGTTATTTTTAATTATGGCCTTTCAATTTTTTTAAGCATCTAATAAAAAAAATAATATCGTTTAAGCATTACCACTCTATAAAAAGAGATATAATTTGAAATAAAACAAATATTTATTATTTCCAAAAAAAAGGAAATTTTAATTTTCAATCCAAATAAGTTCATTTATTTTAAGAAAAAAGTTTTACGTTACCAAAAAAGGACATTTTAATTTTTTAATTTCCTAAAGAGTTCATAAGAACAATTATTAATATTTACCTAAATGATTTTAAATAACAAAAATTATTGCCCGTTCTTAAAATTTTTATAGCTCGCCCACTTAGATGGGCGTGCGGGCCAAAGCAGATCTCTAGTCTCCCCTATATTAAAATTATTACGATGTTCTTTATCTCTTTAAAACTGTTGGCATGAACATTCTTATAAAATAAATACTATTATGATTTAAAAATGACATACCTATAGGTTTTTTTGAAGTTATAGCTACTAGATTTATTTGAAGATATATTTTTTTTACATTTTAAACAAATAAATTTGTAGCCACCTTTTGTTTTTACATTAATTTGAAAATGGGAAATGTGTATTATTGTTATCAAGAACTTTTTCTTCCAGGGTACCTTCCATTTCATTAATATCATCATTGTCTGAGATTCACTTACATCGATTTGGATATCCATTTGCGATAACATTTTAAAATATTTACACCAGATAAGGTTTATAATACAAATTTGTAGTGATGTTAAAAGTTACTTTTGAAACATAACTAGTTACAGTTACTAGTTAAATTGGCAAAAACATAACTAGTTACAGTTACTAGTTACATTTTTACAAAATTTTCAAAAGTAACTAGTTACTTACTTTAGACATCATTCATATGCGCATTATTTATTTATTGAATGCATTTATTTAATATGTTATTTAAAATAATATACAATTTATTTATATAAAAAAATATCGCAAAATTGAATATTTACATCGAATATAAAAATATATATTTGCATTGAAAAAAAAACATTTATTTTTCATAAAAATTAGAATCTAATAAATGTTTATTTGCTTTTAACAACAAATTAATTTTAAAGTTATTATCTAGGAGACGTGCTCGTTTATCTCCAAAAATGAGCTTACCTAGACTGAACAAGCGCTCTACGGGAGCACTTGATGTTAGAACAACATTATATTTAATAAAGAGTAATTTTAACTTTGGAAAATCGTTATATAAAGAAAAAGTGTTGTTATTAGATTTGATAAAGTTTTCTATAAGTTCATTATCCAGAATATTTTGGCGCTTTAGGTCAAAAAATCCAACTACATCAAGTGATGTTGCAATCATTTTTTAAAATTTGAGTAATGTGCTTATGCTTTTGTTAGACTTGGTTCTTGTAAGTAATGATGAATAATTTAATATTAAATTCTAAAATAATCTGTCTTTGTTTTTCCTTATACTAAATTTCTAATTTTTTTTATTACGTATGATATGAAGTTCCAATGCTTGTTACTTGACGGAAAAAAATATATTGTGCTACATTTGTTACTTGAATTTGCTTACAAAATTATGAAGCCCAGCAGAAATGTAACAATTTAAGAAAAGAAAATCAATTTGAACGGGAAATTATAACAATCAGACATTTTCACAAAATTTTAAATTAATAAATTTAATTTAATAAAATTAATTTATCACAACATATTAAAAATAAAATTAATTATTTAAATATATCTTTAAAAGTAACTAGTTACTTTTAACAGTTACATTTCAAAAATTATAACTAGTTACAGTTACTAGTTACAATTTTAAAAATATAACTAGTTACAGTTATTTTTTAGCCAAAATGTAACTAGTTACCTTAACATCACTACAAATTTGAAACATAAATTTTATAAATTTTCATGTTTATTATATTTTATAAAGTAGCTAAGAGCGCGCTATTTAGCGACTTTCAAAAAAAGGAGCTCGCTAAAAAAATTAATAATTGGAAAAAATAGCGCGCTATTAGCTATCGCTACCAAAAAAGATAGCGCGCTACTTTAAAAACATTCATTATATATATACTGTTTTTAATTTAACCACTTACAAAGATTAGAAATAGTTGTTTTTTGTTTCAACAAGATATATTTTGGTTTAGGCCTTGTATTTAAAAAATTTTTTTAACTGGGCCAGACCGAGCAACTCTAGTGAAAAATTGAAATTGGGTGCAACGGTCATTAACTAAATTCTCATCGGGCCAGGCCTAAGTTTGACATTTGTATACCACTGATTCAAATATTTCCAATTATTTCTTCTATTGAAGGTACTTATAAATATATACTTCATTAACATATTCTATAATAATAATAAAAAATTTATATAAATCTTTAAAAAGATAAATTTCTGATTCATTTATTATCAAAAGGGGAAATTTCTGATTTGCCCATTATCAAATAAAGGAGAAATATATGATTCCCCATCATTCTTGCCGTGTTATCTTCATGTTTAAATATAACTTTTTATATCAAAAGAGCTATAATAATATGAGCACTCTATGAAAAGTTGATAACTTACTATTAGGACCTTCAAATGCTTCAAATAAGTTGGGAGAGCCCAGTTCTTGAGATATTTTTTTTAGTCTACAGAACAGCAAAAATGTACTTTGCTTTACTTTCTGAGATAACAAATAAATATCGAATAAATCTAATATTTTACTACTGAAACTATCATTAGCTACTCACATTATCTGAACACAGAACTCCCTTAGTCAGCATTGCTATTCACTTCCAATATTTTTCGATTACTAATATAAATATTAATAGGTGAAAATATATTTTATTGAGTATGTAAAGGAAATTTTTTGAGATATATTTACTTTCCACCAGCAACACATAAGGGGTATCACATTACTTAAGTTAATTTGTTCAATAATCGGAAGTATTTTTTAAAATTATTTTCTGAGTCCAGCTTTACAAATTGTAATTCTAAAATATTGTTGATATAGGTGATTGACACTCTTAATTTAAATATCGATATTAAAATCCAATAATATTAATGACATAAAAAGACGTTCTGCATTAAGAATGGTCTAATGGCATGAAGATTACACAAATACAATATAAGATTTTTATCCCTAATTACAATACGCCTAGTAGCGCAGCCACAAACCATTGGCTTTTAATACAGAGTATCCCAGGTTCGAATCTGGTGGTTGCCACAAAATTAAATTAGGTAATATAGTCTTAATTTTAATACATTATGATGGAAAACGGCCATATTTCAGTTAAGATTATATATATTAGATAAGTAAAATAAACCGATGAGATGATTAAAAAAGACAGGAAGAGACAATGATTTCTCTACATTTCCGATATAAATTGTAGTAGCGCATAGCATTCACTTTTGATAATAAGTATCTCAGGTTCATACGCATAATAGCGCAGCCGCAAAGCATTCGCTTTTGATATGGAGTATCCCGGATTCGAATCTGGTTGTTTCCAAAAAAATTAACATTAGGAGGTAATATAGTCTCCTTAAATCTTAAACATTAAGATGCAGGCGCGTACACAGGAATTTGGTCTGGGGGGGGGGGGGGGGAATAATAAAATTTTTTAAGAAATATTGTTTTTTAAAAATATCAAACATAAATATATTAGGACTAATAACTATTTCTAATACACAATTTTAAATTTATGTAAAAAAATTATATGCAAAGAATCACTTAAATGACCCAAAATAGAAATTTGAATTTTTTGAGCCTTTACACAAAAAGTTTCTTAGGAATAATTGCATTTTATATTTTATATATTTACAATGTAAAATCCAATCTTCGTTGTGATTGAGCTAATTTTTCAATTATCTCATCCTTGCTTGTGGTCAAATGCCTATGAATATTCAAAAGATCCAAACCTTTCAATCTACTTTCAGATGTTGTACTTCTCGGTATGTTTTTCAGAGACTTGCAGGCCCGGCCCCCGGGCTAGACAGTATTTTAATTTTTTAAAATATATACGAGCCGGGCCCGAAATTTTTTTAAAAAAACACCCAAGCCTAGCCTGAAAATTTTATTTTAAAAAAAGCCAGGCCGGGCCTGAAAGTTTTTAAAAAAAAGCCGAGGGCCTAAAAAATTTTTAAAAAAAGCCGGGCCGGCCTGAAAATTTTTTGAGAAAAACCCGGGCCGTATAAAATCTTTAAAAAAAATCCGGGCCGTGCCCTGCAAATGGTACTTCTGCAGGCTTCTGTTATTCTTCTTAAAAAAGATAATGTTCTCTCATTAGTTTACTAATGGGAAGAGTTTATAAACCCTTTTAATACATTGGGAATTTAATCTAAAATGTGTTTGAAATAATGCAGAACATCCATAGCATTTTTTGGGACTATATCAACCATTGTTAATCTTTTATTCAGCTAGTAAGGCATCATAAGATACTTTAACATCTTCATAATAAAAATCTAACAAATATTTTTTTCTATCACCATCTGAAAAAGATTGGGAAGGCTTTTGTGGAAGTAATATTTGCAGATGTAAGTGCTGCATGATGAATTAAAAATTCATTTATTTGGGTTATAAATGTATCTGTATTTAAGATATACTCTTCTACTTATCCTATATTAATGTTTTAACGATGAGCTTGCCTTGCTACAAGTCGAGGGAGACAAATATTAAACACTTATAGCTCTGCTTTTGACTCAACAATAAAATATGAAATTCTTCATCAACATTAGCCCTAATTTCCTTGAGTTCTGATCTCTCCGCTATTCTCATCTTCTTAACCAAGTCAATGTCATGTTTTTGAAAAGTAATACTTAAAATAGTTGTATAATTAAATAATACATTCTATAGAGAAATAAAATTTGGAATAAGCATTGAATCCAATAATTTTCTTGCTTCTGAGGAAATATTTCTTTCAGGCCATTGTGATATTTCCTAGCAAATAGGCTCTTCTAACTCCTTAAAAGCTGTTACTGCTTGATGGCAGAGACTCTATCTCGTTGGACAAGGTTGCAATTTCTTTTTCCCTGTTGGACAAGAAGTTTCAGAAATAATAATTATTTGACTAGAAATTTGAAAATGGTAGATAAATATTACGCCACTAAAAATTTGAAAATAATAAGTAAATATTACGCCGGAAAACTTGAAATCGAAATTAATTGATAAAATAACTTAGTATTTAAATGTGATAATAAACGAATAAATATTAACAAATATAAATTAATATAAACAATAATACTTTTGAAAAATATATCCGGTATCTGCATTTTTTGGCTTTGGGGGAGGGGGGAGATTTGTCCCCCTGCCCCCCCCCCTGCGTACGCCAATGTTAAGATAGAAAACGATCATATTTTGATTATGGATATTAGAATATTAGATAGATGAAATAAATTGATGAGTTGATAAAAAAGAAATTAGAAGAGTCAATAATTTCTCTAAATTCCAATAAACGTTGTTTTTCCATTATAAAACCATTAATTATAATGAAATTTGATTCTTTAAAATATTCCTCGTCTCTAAGAGCAATTTATCCACCGATATCCAATTTTTTGCTCATACTGATAACGTGAAGTGAATATCGGTGCACTGACAAAATTTTTATCTATTCCGATTTAAAATGATAAGTATCATTTTAAACTAATTATTAATTAAATCTCATATAATTCCTTACCTGTCATAATCGATTAAATAATTACCTCAAATCACAATTTTTTTAGACATGTCGAAGTAAAACAAATAAAACAACATTCTATAATATAAATTAGAATTTTTTATCAGGCTTAAATTTAGTGAAGAGACTTCCAGAAATAATCACAAAACATGTAGTATAGCCATCATTGTCATATTATTATATATAATTATTTATTTTTTAAAAAATTATTGTTTCATAAATATCATATCGCCTGATTTTATATATCACGTGTAGAACTCATGATTTCTTTAAAGTATAAAAGGGACGATATTTTACAATTAGAAGGACTTTTTGACTTTTGTTTTTTTTTGTAATTTTATATTTAGTTGGCAAAATGCCACATTTTTATCAACACCTCCACTAATATTAATTTACCATACTATAATTTTCTCCATATGCCTAGGTCACATTTACCGCTATATAATTTATTAACGCAACACTATAACATTCCCTGTAAGTTTCGGTCACGGCACCATGGTGAAAATTATATACTATAAATAACTCTACCAGTAAATGCTATTTAAAAACTCACACAATTTACCAACACAACTCTAAAACTAAAATTAATAAATTTATTTTCAACTCTAATTTTAGAAAAATGAAATTTAATTATTGAAATTTTTAAGTGGTTGATGCATATTATTTATTGGAAATAAAGCGTATAAATGATGTGTTAAATTAAATTGGAGTGATTTAAATATATATATAGAGCGCAAAACGTGATAGTAAAATACAATTGTAGGAGTGATTTATATTAATAGAGAAATATATAATGTGAGAGTTAAAATATATAAATTAAGAAATTAAGAGATGTAAATTTTTATGAGTGTTTGGTTTCCATTGAGAGGAACAGTTCTTTTTGCGACCAAAGTGTGATGGAATACTGATAATTTTTGCATTAAAAATATATCAACGACGAGGGATGTAATGAGATTGGAGTTATTGGTTTCGAGTTTAAAAGTGTTGTACCTTTTTGTGGGGTGAATATAAAATAATGAAAAGCATCGAACGAGACGAATATTTAGAGATTTCAATGAATAGTGGTGTTGAAAACAGTATAATAGTGCGCTAAGGTAAATTAATTTGTGTCGGGACCAAAATTATAAATCACGAGAGAGAGAATTGTAAATTAACATGCGAAAACTAAAGTAGCGGCGAAAGTGTAGAATAATATTTCTTTCTTTCTTTTAAAATAGCGTTGAATATAAATAAAAAAGAGAAAATGGCAAGTGCTAGAAAATATATTTTTATATGAAGTTATGGTGTGAAGCTAATAAAATATTTTCAAAATAACAAAGCGTTCGAGTTCACAGGGAGAGTTAGCAATTTTTTAAAACATAAATATTGAAAAATAAAGCCAAAGGTGGTGTGTAAAAAAAAGGAGTAAGGTAAGTACTAATAAGTTAAAATAACAAGGCGAAGGAGAAATAATTTTAAAAAATGAGCTGGCTTCAAAAAGGTAAAATATTCACGAAATTTGACGATAAATATTATGCGAAGAAAATGTTTCTCTATGAAAGAGTGATGATTTACAAAGAATATGTTTAGGATAAAGGAAGATGCTAAAATATTTTTTTAAAAGGAGAAAGTTATTGAATATTTTTTGTATCTTTTAGGAATGAATTGAAATGGTTGATAAAAAATAATTTTTTATGTGTTAATATGGAACGTATTTTTGGTTAATTAAATAGAATGTACAAGGGGGTTGGATAATTTTTTTTTAAGAAAAAATAATAAATGCAAAGTTAAGAATTTTTCTTGGTTTAAAAAAAGGGGGAATAGAAAAGAAAAAGATGATATTTATAATGTTGAAAAATTTTTTAAATGAGTTGACGAATATTTAAAATATGTAGATTTTCGAAATGAAAGAAAAATTAATTTATGAGACTATTTAAATATCATAAAATTTTGGGGTATAAAAAGAGAGATATGACATATATTGACTATTGTTTTATGTTGATTATAATAAAAGAAATGGAATTATTTATTTTTTCGATTTAAATGAATTAACAAATGTGTATGTTGTAAGCGGTGGGAATTTTGGGGGAGAAATTGAGGAGAATTCTAGGGGAGTATTCGGGGTGGGGGATTTATTGGGGAATAATCTGGGGAACTCATTTGGGAGTATTCGGGGGTACACATTGGGGAGTATTCGGAGGGACTTATTGGGGATCTAGGAAGGGTTGGACTGAAATATGTTGGGTTGAATTTTAAAAGGAGAGATACAAATGTTTGAAATTTGCGTAAAAGTTTAATATATCGGGATAAATTTTAAAAGAAGAGGGATACAAAAATGGTGTTTAAAATTTGTGTAAAAATGTTAATAGTAGTTCGATCTTAAAATATATGTAAAGTGCTTGAATATTTCTTAATATATCAATGAATTGGTAGACTATAAAGCAGTGAGGTAAAAAGGGAAGAGAACGAGTTGATCGAACCAACTAGAGTGATGGGATAAAGATCGACGATCAAATGCGATGAATTGTTTTGTATTACCAAAGAGCAGAATAGGTGTTTTTTTTAAAAAAAAATCAAGAATTGAATGTGCTAATGGATATAGATTATCAACTTGTGGAAAAAAAAATTATGGGAAATATAGAAACTTGATGTACTACGGAGACAAATCATTACCGGTGGGTGACTAAAATTCGTTCAGACTCGATACTACGGTGACAAATCATTAATGTTAGGTCCAGATAACATCGTTCAAACTCGATGAAGATTACGGAGACAAATCATGAAGTTGGTTCAAGATAACTAATATTCGATCATAAACGATGCAGCCATAGCTTCAGCGAAACTATTAGGATTTTGAAAAAGAAACCATTATACTATAAAAGATATTGGAAAGAAGATAGATTCATGTCGGTTCTTGTGAAATATTATGGCATTCTA